AGGTAAAAACGCTCATTCCATTGGCAGATCATTTTATTTTCCTACTCAAATTAAGGTTAAATACACTTATTTTAAGATTTTTTTTTTCATTTCAGAATATTTTTGCAGTGTATGTATTTGGTTTTTAAAAATCTATATATTAGGGTTTTCTAATTATTGTTAGTAAGCTTTTGCCATGTATAGTATTTATGTTTTGTAATAAGGCTTTTCTTAGTTATTTTATGTGTTCTGTGTATTTTTTTATTTTGACTCTTATATAAGTGTTGCTTCTACTTCATTCATGGTTCTTTTTGTGCTTTGGTTGAATTTCCTCTCTTTTTTTTGTAGTAATCCGTCATCTTCACTGTACGGCCCTGCTCTGACACCTCCCTCACCTCAGCATTCAGCCGGTTTCAGCTTAGCTGATTCATGCTTGATGCTTCTGCGAGGTCCAAAAAGCCAGATTATGTCATTTTAGCTTCCATGCCATGCACGACTCTGGAAAAACAAGGCAGGAAAGCAACAGCTCCTACTGACGAGGATTTTGCAAATATAAACATCTAGAGATTTTTAATTTAGTCCATAACTATCACTGTGATCAACAGATTGGGGGGAAAAACTTGTGGAAAGAAATTACAGTCACTTCGTTAACTTGTGTTGTGTTGAAATCAGGTCATGCAGAACATGGCCCCCTTGAATAAGCCACAAGGTTTACCTGCAGAACATACCTGTCTAGCATAACTGAGTGTTTATACTCACCTGGGTTTAATGTCATGCTCTACTTCTCAGAATTTCAGTTCAAATGTTTCCAATGCTTCTGACCAGAATCTTTGGTTTTGCTTATTCCAGTTCCTTGTCCAGTTTTTCTCTTTCAGTTAGTAAATTACCCCTTTTTTGTGATTCGGTTCACTCCAATTTAAATCTGGATGAACTTACACAGTTTCTTAGGAATTGTAAGTGTAAGTTACAATTTGCGGCTAGGCGGAAGTCTGCACTCTTCGAATGCTTTTCTAGTTTAAATGTTTCCGTACAGAGACTTTGGAGAGTTTTGGAACATGTCAGATTTTTCCCCATTCAGAAATGGACTTACTGGTGTTTTCCCTGGTAGAGGGTAGGACCTACTCGTTGGCTATGTAAAGTCAATCTGTCAATCCATTTTCTGGATGGAAAATACCCAAGAGGGGTTACGAGGGGTTCTGGTGCCTATCTCCAGCTGTCTATGGGAGAGGCGTGGGATCCAGCCTGCACAGGTCGCCAATCCATCGCAGGGCAACACAGAGACAAACGGGACAAACAACCATTCCTGCACACAATCACACCTAAGGAGAATTTAGAGAAGCCATTTAACCTAACAGTCATGTTTTTGGACTGTGGGAGGAAGCCGGAGTACCCGGAGAGAACATGCATGCTCAGGGAGAACATGCAAACTCTGTGCAGAGTTTGCACAGAGAATCGAACCAGGAACCTTCTTGCTGCAAGGCAGCTGTGCTACCCACCGTTCCACTGAGCAGCCCACTATATAAAGTCATTTACCTTATTAGTTCACAGCTTTTTTTCCCAAAAATCTTTGTGATTACCAAGATTTTTCTTGGCAAATCCACATTTTAAATATGTCCTCTGAAGTACACTGTGTTAAGCATTAACAATCTTACTGGTCTTCAGCTGCATAGCAGTCTGTAAGGTTAATGTATGTTCTGACGCTCTTCTATCATCCTGCATTAAGGTTTTGAACCACTGCACTATTGTAGCCTTTTCTCTAAAAAAAATCTGCCTCATGTGCCAATGACCATTGAGTGGAGCATTTCAGGAGATTAATTGAACTACAAATGATCCAACCAACTCATCTAGTTTGGCTTCTCTACTGGACTTAAGAAATTCTGCTTCCTTTTAACACATCAGCTGTAAAAGCCATCCAATTTGACTCTTTAAAAGACCTTTCTAATTGGTATTTCATTTTTTTTTTTTTTTCAATTTCCTCTTTTCTTGCTCCATATTCACACCATTGGCAGTGACATTAGGTTACATGTTGTTTTTTTAGGGAGTTTTCCGCACCAAAGCAAGTGATATTTTCAAGGCTGTGATTTTAAAAGAACAACTATTTCATAAGATATGATACAATCTAGAGAACGAGTGCTAACCCATCCCTGCCTAAATTATAAGGTTTGTTCACAGAGAACCCCCCCATGAATAATCAGATCTGATTTTGAGACTAGAGATAATTTTCACACCTAATCTCAACAGCTCATAATTCCATGATTAATTCCCTCATGTCCATTCATCAGTACCTAAGCTTGTCATATATTAACATTTGCATAAATTTGCAATTAATAAATGCTGCAGGTAATGATGATGCATGTTACCTCAGAAGTTGTTGCCTCCATAATCACAAGCCCATGTCGGAGGATGAAATCAGAAGCAGTGTTTTGAAGTCTTGTGAGTCAGAAGGGTTGGCTATGTTGGACTGGATTTAAGATGCCAGACACACGTCTGGTGTCTTATTCTATACTAAATGGGACAAGGACAGTCAGAGGTTGCTTTTGTTGGCCTATTAGATTCAGTGATTATAGTTGCTCAGGTGGAATGAGCTGGAAAAAAGTAGTCTGTCTCCTTGAGAGGTGTACTATTTATGTTTCCCAATAGATAAGAAGACACCAATCATAGTGGAAAACATAGTTTATTAGACATGAATACTCATCTGGTACTCCTGGAAGTAAATTAATATTTTATAGCGTTATCTCTATATTCATAATTCTAATTGTCAGTAAAGGCTGTCAGTACAGAAGTCATGCCGAATTTAAAGTCTGCATTTATTCTTGCAGGATCATTACATGCACAAAGACTATGTGAATAAACTACAGAGGAATTTGGTACTTTCGCTTTTTTCTTTAATTTAATTAAATACACAAAGTTTTGACAAGCAAAACGACCAAGTGTTCTTCCTCTGCAACATTGTGCTATTTGTTTCACTTATGTCTGACAATAAAGTTAGCTTGTTCATTTCAAGACAAACTTTACCTTAAATTAAGCAACTAGTGATGGGTAATATTCTGACAGATGAGCTATTGGCTGTATTGCTTCCTCTAGCTGGTGCTGTTTGAACGCAGGAAGGGTGACTGACCATCAACAAGAAGTAGAGCTAGCGGCTATATTGGGAGTGCACAGGGTGAAACAGAAGATTTGGCCACTGGCTGTTTCTCTAAAATAGGGGGATATCCACCTGTTAATGGAAAGCTCTGTGTTTACACCTTGATGCTCTCGCTCTCTGGTTCTTTTTCCTCAAAGTAGATCACTTGGGACAAACTCTTTAAATAACACTTCATAATGTATATGTATGACATAACCGTGAGACATTACAACAGATTTTGATAGAAATTAAAATCTTAATCAGATAAGAGAAGTTGCTTAGAGGTACAGAAGGTAGGCTTACCAACCGGGCTCACATCTCGTGAAGTGGCCAAGGTTCATATTTAGAGATGCATCTTATAGAACTCCATTATGACAAATCATCACATCATTATATCATAGACTATTGCAGATGAGGAGACATCCATGCTCCAGCCTTATCAAATTATTACACTTTGTTCTTAGCTGAAGTACACAGCCCTCATTCCATTCCCAAATCTTTGGCACGTACCGAATGAATGATTGATAAAGATTATAATGTACATAGCCGGACCGAGGAACTGGCCTAATTAGATAAACTTCTGGAAAAAATTTGAGTTCAGACACGCAAAAAGCAGGTAATATTTTGGTGTAATAAACTCATAAATCATCACTGATATTTATCCTAACCTCTGGCCGCACCACAGTCACTGTCACATGACCAAACAAACACCACATAACCAATTTCCTCACCTCCACTTCCTCAAACAAGGAGATTAACTACATGGAAACAATATCTGTTGTTAATTTTGTCCTAGTTTTACTCATCAGGCAAATACCGCTGTAAAAAAATCAACCTTAAAGCATCCGACGTTGGCCAATACCAATTTTAATGTTGATATATCATTCATCCCTAGCCTGTACTTTTAAAGGCCGTTATCAAGTTAAAAGCGTTTCACACTACAGTCAGTGATTCACACACTGATGGTGATGAGCTACATGGAAACCATAGCTCCAGTGGGGAAGATGAATAGAAATTAGGCTGCCATAATATTAGACTGCCAAAACCTCTGACCTCCAGCAGCAGGCATCTTGGGTGAAGCTCTTTGACCTAAGAAACCATGGCTGAACGGAGGCTTGAATCAGCAACACAAGCCCCCACCTCCTGAGCCGCTGTATGCCCAAGAGTCATTTTGTGTTTGCTTGTTGCCAGTGTTTTTTTTGTTGTATTATTTCACTTTGTATGGAAAGCGATGCTATGTTCAAATCTAGATTGCAAATCTGAAACAGTAGTTAGCAGTTATCTAAATGGTTAAGGCAGACAAATTATTTATATTTATTTATTACCCACTAGCCTATCAGGAATGTGTTAATACATTATATTGAGTACAATATAATGTAAAAAAAAAAAAGCTAATATTCCTGTTTTTCTTCCTTCTAGTAAACATATCAGTGTTTTAAATGAGTTCTCATTAACTAGACATTTCTGACTTTCCTGTACATGTTTTGGCAGCTAACACATGGGAAAGCGTGTTGTGCGACTAGATTTTCTGACCTAACGTCAGCTGACACAGGGCTCGTGTTTATGAATGCAGTAAAGGCTTCTTGAATGCAAATGAAATGTCATATTAGTGCCAGCTGATTGCTTGGCTCTGTTTTTCCTCATGGTCCATCCTCAGGAAACACTCACAGACTCTTTCAAAAATGTTGAGTAGTCCCATCTGAAAATTGTCCTTCACTTTCTCCCCCTCCCTGAAATAGCACTGTGCTGTGAGGTTAAGTTCTCCATCTGAATTTAATTAGGATATTCTGTCACGTCAGGGTGTGAAGACGAAATCCTCACTTGGCTGACCTCTAAGTGATGCCTTGTACTGTTAAACTGAATCTCAAACTTTCCTTATTTATTCCTTTCTCAACAGTTTGTGTACTGTATACTCAAGGGATTGCAAACAGAGAATGGAGAGAGGTGAGTACAAAAATTAGATGATTGTTGATATGCTCACAAGGCAGCGTTGTATATCCTGCTACACTCTAGAGCTATAATGTTTGTTGTAAAAAGTGGCCTATGAGTTTTCTGAAACTATTGAAATGTCAGATTAACATAGAAACAGGTCAACAGGAGAGGATGAGATAATCTAAAGGAGCATAAAAAAGCAAGACAGCAGAAAATTATATCTGTAGAATTGGATCTACACATATAAGACCTTTAAAATGTGCATGGAGAGTAGTTTACATGTGTCTTTTAAATGCTGCTATTGTGATTTGTTATTTTTATTTTGCGTGTGCACGTCTAGCAGAAATCAAAATTCCTGGTTATGTTTTACCATGTCAGAAATGATTATATGTAAGCTTTTAGTCACTAAAACAAAAGTAAGAGCCTTGCTTTTTAAATTTTGTCTTCCAGTTTGGCAGGACCGAAGTCATAGACAACACCCTCAATCCCGACTTTGTCCGCAAATTTATTCTGGATTACTTCTTCGAGGAGAGGCAGAATCTTCGTTTTGACCTGTGAGTTTTCAACACTTGACTTTTGCCTGGTGTTGTGCCTGTGTGTATGTGGCCATGCATTTGTTACCCAGAGGGGACAATTTTCCAGATAGCTACTACATTTTGGGGACTTATAGGTACTTGTGGGGACCAATGATTGGTTCCCATTAGGAGAAGTTTTCTTCTTGGAGTGGTGGTTAAGTTTAGCGCTAAGTGTGAATTGGGTTTAGTTTAGGGTTCGGTTAGGGAGAGGTTTGCACTGGTAATGGTTAGGTTCAGATTTATTGTCAGGGTTGGAGGCCTGAAAATGACTGCAAATCAATGGAACTCAGTTGGGAGTCAACACATGGTCCTCACTACATATAGTAAGACAAGGAAGTGTGTGTGTGTGTGTGGAGCAAATCATATGCACTTTCCAGCCATGGGTGAAAGTGCTGCTTTGTGTTTAGCAAAGCTGAGTTGCAATTGAAATATTCATAGTTTGCACTGATGGGAGATGTAAGCCTTCGCTCCTCTAAATAAAAAAAAGTTTTATGCAGCTTTGAACCGCTACCTTCATTTAAAGTCACTCCATCCAGACAGTCAAGACAGAAGGCTAGATAAAATAGCAATTTTGCAATTTTTTAAATATATATCTTGCTTTCTTGAGTGATGATATCTGCAGTAAAAAACACTCAACTACTATTGAATAATATGCTTTGTCCACTTGCTCTTCTTCCTATTTCAATCCTGACTGACACTTTATGGGGGTAAGATCTATACAAAAAGTCCTTGTGAAAGTAACAAATTACTGTTTTAACAGCAGATGCACAAGATTGCTCATTCTCTGTCCTTTTATGCCTAAGTGCAATATTTGACACAGTTGATCATACAATTTTAATTGACCGCCTTGAGCACTCAGGGTCAGCACAGATCCTTCCATAGCTTACCACTCAGCTTGAACCTGCAATGGTAAAGCAGGTGATTTCTGCAACTCGCGAATCGGAAATAAACCTCTGTTTCGCTTATTGCATGACACCCACCATGGTCCATGTATTTCATTTTGTTGGATATATTCTCTTTTGCATTTTTAAAAAATTTTTATGACATTTTCCAATTCTGTGTTTTCCTTTTTTCTATAAGTTATTTCTTTTTTATATGAAGGTATAGCTTCATTTTTAAAATGCTCTTTAATGATCACATTTTAGCTGGAGCTACAACAACACATCACAATTATGGTGAAATAAACAGTTCTGATATATTGATTGGAGTTTTAGCCTGGCTGGTTCTGATTAGACTCTAAGCTCAACATTAACTCCTGTCTGTTTGCCAGAGGCAGCAATCCTTGTTTGGGCAGGTGGAGAGTGTTATGCAGTAATCCAAATCAATTGGGCAATTGAAAACACATTTATTTAATTCAGTTTGATCTATTGCTGTACCTAACAGCATCATGATGATTTGCGTACAAAGGCACAGATTGTCACACATGATTGTATAGAAATACGGTTACACTCGTTCATACTCATTTTGAGATTGGTGCCATTAGACCAGAGCATTTAAAAATATATATTTTTCCTTATTATTTTTACTTGGAAAATAACAGAGGGGAGTCCATCCATCCATCCATCCATCCATCCATCCATCCATGCTTATCCATGCTTATATGGTGTTGCGAGGGTTGCTGGTGTCTATCTCCAGCTGTCTATGGGCAAGAGGCAGGGTACAGCCTGGACAGGACCATTGACGCACACACACACAAACCTAAGGAGAATTTAGAGAAGCCAATTAAACCTAACAGTCATGTTTTTTGACCATGGGAGGAAGCCGGAGTACCAAGAGAGAACCCACGCATGCACTGGGAGAACATGCACATCATGGAAATGGAACCCAGAACCTTCTTGCTGCAAGGCAGCAGTGCAATCCACTGCACCAGTGTGCAGACGGTAGCCCACCAAGAGAAGAGTCCAATAATCCTTAAACAATCCAAGTATTATTCCACTGATATAATATTTTAAATACTGAAAAAGAAAAAATATATAGTTCAAATTTATCTGGAATGCCATAGTTTTGGGCTACTTAAAATAGCGTATGTATTTCTGTGTGCATATGATTGATCAATGACAGATTAAGGCATATAAACAGGTTCAAAATCTATGAGGTGTCCTGAGAATAAGCAGATGTTACAAACTTTCTCTGACTGCAAAGATTATAGTTTTACTATAGGTCAGAGTTAAATGTCTTTTGTATCTCTGAGTATTATTTCACAATCCCTTTGTTTATACAAAAGCACATTGCTTTTCCTTGCTTTTTACCCCATTTCCTCTGTCCTGCAATCCCTCTAAACAGCTGGAGGCCAGCTATCGGAAATGAACTCTCGATCTGTTTACAGAGCCAGGTTTCTGTAAAGCAAAGGGCAGCGGATCTGCAGAATAAATTTCTTTTGCCGAGAAGGGGCATCTTGTCAGGGAGTCGACAATCCCCCAATGTATAAATGGGAATGAGTGCACTGGAAAAAAAATCGAAATTTAGATAAGTCATTTTTTCTTAAAATAAGCATGTTTCTTCTTGTATTTAGAAGGTTACACACTTTGCCAATGGAACATGACAATTTACATTTGAAATAAGAAAAAAAAAAGTATTTCATTGTCTTATTTCAAGTGTATATTATCTAATTACCTTATTTTAAGACAAAAAATCCTCATTCCATTGGCAAATTATCTTATTTACCTACTTAAATCAAGGGTAAATACACTTAATTCAAGACATTTTCACTTATTTCTAGATCGTTTTTGCAGTGTGGGAATGAAGCTCACATTCCCTCCTGGTGGAGCCTGTATAGAAAAGTATCTTTACACCTTCAAGCTCTCTCACCCCCATTCTTTCCTGAGAATGCATATATATAAAAATACTATAAAACATTATTGCAGGTTAAACAAAATGTTATCTTACTCAGACCACTTGGGTTGCATACAGTGGCAGTGTTCACTATTGGGCTTGCTTTGTCAGGACGGGGCCCAAAATAAAAGTTAAAAAGCATTTTATACATCTCCAGTGCCCCTCCATGCCACATCATCACACATCATTACATCATCAGTCTATCTTCTCCCGCTTATTCCGTCAGGGTCGCGGTGGGGCCGGTGCCAATCTCCGTCAATCTCTGGGTGAAAGGCGGGGTCCATCGGGTACAGGTCGGCTGTACATTACATCATTCTGTTTGTAAATAAGGAGACTGACTATTATCTCAATAAAGCTCTTGCCTTATTGAAAAATACACAGTGTTCTAGATCAAAGAGAACCCAAATGCAGACTGACGGAAAACTTAATAAACTGTCTGGGAAAACATTAGCCTTAACACTTAACAAGTAGGTAATATCAGAGTTTAAATGGTAAAAGTTTAATAAGGTACGGTTTTAACAGGTAGGCTTCCTTAAAGGTATTGTGGAGGATTTTTTACAAATTTTTTAAAAGACCTGCCCTCTCCACTTTAAAAAAATGCACATGCACAACCCTGTACCCGCTACCGAGAGGGACTGCCTATTAAACGTGTGTGAGAGCATGCAGAGCCCATTTAAAAATTGCTGTTCTTCTAGCTCATACAAGCTTACTGTGTGCAATTGTCCGCCCTAACCCCTATATCCCTCAATCACTATATAGAACAGGGACTACATAGTGGACTTTATAGGGAACTCTCTAGGCCTCTGTGACAGCAAATCCCATAAAGCTTTGCGAGGAGAGCTCTTTGCACAAAGCAGTCTGGGATATATCTGCCTCTTCTGAGGTCTTTCTCTTGTTCTCATCCACACTTTTTCTCTTACGACCCTTTGCCATTTTCAAAGAACCGTAGTGAGAAAGGTGAGCTTCAATGACTGTCTGAAACCGTAGCTCACCACAGATATGCGGCTAAAAGTACGCATGCGCAGGTTAATATAGCTAACGGGACAAGCACATATGACGGCCTTATGTAAACATATCACCAGAATGATTGACAATTAGGAACGCCACTTATTTAGATGATCCACCCGGAAATAAAAGATCCTCCTCTATAGCTTTAAAACCACTCTTGTGGTTTACATGTCCAAAAAAACCCATTCATGACCAGGATGTGAAAATCAAAAGAAAGAAACCTTAAGCACAGTGGAAAACATCTGTTCTTACCACTGCATGAAAAGTGAGATTTTCGTCCCCGTAAACTCCCGCAGATCTCCCTGATTTTCGTCAGTTTCCGACAATTTGCTATCCGCGCTTGTCCGCGTTTGTCGTGCCACAAATTGTCGGAAACGGACTCTGACGTATGTGGAGAGCGATCAGCTGTACTAATGGCCCTAATTAGCATATGTATGCAGCAAACCCGCGCGGCTGGCCAGGTCCGGCTTGAATAACCTACTCAGTATTGGCTGAAACCACTATTCTCAAACAAATGAAATCGCTCGTGATTGGCAGCAAAACCAAACGTGGCCACGCCAGGCTTTAATTTTCTTACTGAGTATTGGACGGAACCACTTCTTTTTAAACAAGTAAAGTCGCTCGTGATTGGTTGGCATATATATATTTATTCACATATAAATTTACATATATATATATATATATATATATTTATGAATATATATTTATTCATTCATCTATTTATTCATTCATATGCTGTGTATTTATGTTATCCTTCACTACTACACAATTATTAGGCTACCATCAAGGACATGAATGAATTTATACAGGAAATGAACGTTTGCCAGGAAGCTGTTTATGCAAAGAAAGAGCTTTATTAAAACACACACAACTATATACAACGCTTATCCAAACACATGCGTATCTAAAAATTACAACTCCGTGAACGGTCCGTTTGCTTCCTCGGGGTTGGAGGTAACTGGCAGCATTCCCTCCGAGGCAGGTCCGATGTGCAGACGCCTACTGTGCGTGGCCCTGTACTTCGGCATCGCTTCTAACCGGGACTGCAGCTTAACACAGAGTTCAGTGAGATCCAGCCTACGAAATGGCGACGACCGTACAATCCATCCAGAGACACCGCCAACGACGCCATCTTCTTC